TAAATTTGATGATTAGAATATTAGAATTATGAAGGTAGATTAATTAGAATATGAATTAGATTAATTAATGAAGGCGGTTAATTAGAATATGAAGGTAGAGTCTACCTGTGTCCCTTAAAGTACTATATAGGGAGATTTATACAGTACTAGGAAGTGCCCCCTTCTAAAGGCTTCTGATAGTGCAGCAACATGTTAGATTACAGTGTGCCGTGGCCAGACCCACAGAAAGAAAGGTAGCATTCTTTGTTCTGCCAGAGAGATGACATTTACTCTATTTTTTTTTCTTCCATCTTTGGTATCAGGAATCAAACTCAGGACCTTGTCCTTACAAGGCAGGCACTCATGCCACTGAGCTATCTCCTTAGCTTGCTGTTTATTCTATATGGGGATAAAAGTACACCTGTTTTTCTTTGAAATAGAAGTTGTGCCATCTTTTGTTTTCAGGGTCAAGCATTATGGAGTGACTTGGAATAAGAAACTGTCTTACTGGAATACAGTCTGGGAAGCAGGACAGCTTAGCAAGACCCTGTCTGAAAATTAAAAAAAAAAAGAAGAAGAGCGCTGGGAATGTGAAATCTCTGTGCTCCCCTAAAAAGAAACCAGACTTGGCCCACTACAGAGAAGTTTTTGGTTTTGTTTACCCGTTTGCACATGCTCACACCTGGGTCAGCAGACTTCCAAACACTGGCGTGCGTGCATATGTGTGTGTGCATGAACACATATATGCTTGTACATGTGTGTACACATGTATGTATGTGTACACATGTGTTTATGCATATGTACATGCACACAATCCTGTACGAGAAAGCAACTGAGAAGTCACTTTTTCTGACCTTAAATCCTATGATTTTTACATAAAGATTCTCGCCAATCTCCCTGTTGGTTCTCCTCTATACAATGAGAGTGCATGAGTCTTATCTTAAAATTAGCTGAACTAAGGGCCTGTGATATAAATCAGCTGACTAAGAGCTTGCTTAGATAAGCGCAGGGGCCAGGGTTCGATCCCTGGCACCGCACACAGCGCCAGTCCTGCCCTTCGGCACATTGAGCCAATGATGGAGTCCAGGCGTGGTAGCACACACCTGTAATCGCAACACTAGGGAGGC